AGCCCTTTTGCCTGAAAAACAATTAAAAATTAGATTATGTATTCCTTTTCACATATGTTAGCATTATGTTCATGACTCAGAATTTCTTCAGGCTATTAAGATATAAAACTGTTGATCTATAAAATACGAAGCACCAGATTTCTATGTGTTTTGGATACCAGAGTATCTGCTGTTAATAATTTTTCTGGTTGTTAATGATAAAAAAAAAAAATAGTGGTAGCAATTAATATGCTTCCATCTAGCAGAGTTCCCTAACCTTGTTTAAATTTTGCTTTTTATCTTCTGTGGGCTGAGAAATCAGTCAAGCTAGTGAGAATTATGTATACATTCAGAGCCCACTGCCTGAGTGGAAGTGTGAGATTTGCCACAGGCATAAAGGGCATGGATATCAGTAGCTATTTTGGTTGTTCAAAAGATTTGGGCTTATTTTTTCATTCTTGGCTATATTTCAAAGAGTATGGCGTGTCCAAGAAATAATATGTTATTATGGAAATCAAAGAGTTAGGTATTTTTCCCCATTTCCATTGTTTCAGGGATAAGACTTGGGAAGTTACTGGCAAGCAGGTTTTAGTTAAGTAGAAAGGCAAATATTTTTAAGTTCATAGAATAGTACCCCCCGGATTGAGCACTGTTCCATGAGTCCAAGCTCAGCTCTGACAGTTGATGTTTCAATCCTCTGGACACCAATGTTTTCATGATCTCAGATCTGCTTGTAGGATTCTGGGTTTCTAGGGCTACAATTCTAGGGCTCAAGCAGAGGTTTATAGGTTAGAGGATTTCTGTATCAGTAGGAGGTTGGATTGAATGACTTCAAGGTATATACTTACGTTAAGATTGGATAATTCTGTGACTCACTTCTAGAAGACAATTCACTTGCAGCTACCAGGGTAAATTTTAAACACCCAGGGGTGATAATGGTTTAGCTGTTCCAGCTTGCTTCTCCATTGTCCCCAGTCACAAGCTGAGAATGCCATCCTCAGATGTGGTCGTTCTCCCTCTCCTTTCCTTTGGGCCCCAAACTTAAAGCCATTAAAAATTTATGAAGCAATGATACGAATTGAGAGAAAGGAAGTTAAAAATGGTCATATTGAGCTGGTTATACATTCTCTTTGTAGCAACAGTTGAGTCGCTTCGAAAGAAGTTAATCGAAGGGGGACTCCATGGCTTGCTGTTTCAGGTAAAAAGAAAAAAAACAACAACAAAGAAAAACCTCTGTGATATGTGTTTACTCACTGTGTGGGGAAGATGTCTGACCCATGTAAGGTTTTGAAGCTAGTTCATGATATATAAATGACTTTAATCACTAAGTTAAATTATCAACTTAGAAGAAAATGCTTTGGGGGACTTTGTTCTCTTACTGAAAGCATCTAGCAACACGAGAGTGGAGAACTCACATTACTGAGGCTCCTGATAACACCTTCCAAAGAGGAAGCATTTTAGAATTTACTTGGCCCAGCCACTGTATCTATTAGCAGAGAGCCAGTTTTTTAGTCGTAGACACCTCCTTTCTGACAGTAAGAGTACCTCCTTCAATTTGTAATCTTATGTTGAAATTTTGAATACTTTCGAATAGGCTTTGCTGGTTACTGTTGCTTTTTTCTTTCTCCTGTTTGAATTAAACTTTCTACTCCTTTCTGTCTGGATGTCTCCATATATCCCTGGTAGAGCTGAATGTATTTCTCTCCCTTATGAGGCTTGGTGAATCTCCTTTTTGCTCATAAGTGAAGAACATAAGGGACCAACCAGCCAGGTTGTTGCTGGAGAAGGGGATGGAGGAGGAAAGAAGAAGGGTGATATTTGCATGGATCTGTTTCCTGGGGATAATGCAGACACATCTGTTTAAGCAGGGAAAAAAAATTATTCATGTGGAAGATTAAGCTAGGCAGAGTGCCTAAAAAGCCCTTGGCTATAAGTTGAGCTAGAAAAACCTCCGCATCTAAAGATGCTTTAATCATCTCAAGAACACCAACATTTCATCTTATAACTATGATAGATATATATCCGCCTCTTGGATCGAGGCCACGATTTTATTGCTATAAATTTTCATGGACACATTTCACTACTCTGAGTTCTATCTCCAACCAGCTTTTTGGCCTCTGCCTAAAAATGTCAGTGAAAAAAACTTTGTTTCTTGTTCATGATCTTCGATTTTCATTCCTAGATCAAGTGATGGTGGAAATACAATGAGAGGTTTACAGTTACAAATGTGTTCCCATAAAATAGAATACAAGATTAAAAAAAAAAAAAACTGGTCAATTTTACCCACCTTAGGTAGTGTCATATTTGAAGTCTAATGTGTTTTGTATCTTTGACACTTTCTTCATTCTGTCTTTGAATGCACTTCACCATTTTCTCATGACAGAGCTTTTTAGATGAAAGATTTCCTTACTATGATCCCCTGTCCTGCACAGATACAGTTCAACAACCTCTTCAAGGAAAATTGGTTAGTATAAACATTTTGAAATTATTTAGAATCCACATCTATGCCCAAATAGAAAGCTAAGTCCAGTGTGTATTAGTAGCCTTAGCATTTTAAACTGTATTGCTAAGAGCTTATCAGATGAAGCAATGGATACCTATTTTTTTCTTTATCTCACATACACAAACATGTAATTCTGGTTGGTCCTAAGAAGTAGCAATATTTCAAAATCTTTTATTGCAGTATCATGAAGCATTTTATAACTAAGCTTGCCCCCTCACTCATACCTGTTTCCTCAGAGCCTTTGTTTATAGCAAAGTGTCAATTATTTGGAATTGATGATGTTAGCATTCTGCTAAGTTTTTGAACTATGATTTTTTGATAAGAATTATAATTTACTTATATGGTACATTTAATCAAACACATCAAAGCTTTTTTTACTTGACATCATTTATTTCCTTCCTGACCTCTCTCACGGGGTCATTTGAGACTAGTGATTGTCTTTCTATCTTTGAAGGTGAAGAGAGTAGATTATGAAATGTATTATGTTACACTCTTTTAGACAACTAATAATACTTGGTTTTCTGTTCAGAAGCAGTGTTGCCACAAACTATACGGTGGTCAAGAAGCCAGAATACATCAGACGCCCCTGACCTTGAAACATACGTGCTGGTATACACCTCTGCTGGGTAAGCATGGGTACCCCTCTCCTACAGCTGCTCAGACACAGCTGGGGGTGGGATTCATTGGAAAGGGAAAATAATTGATCACAATTGTATTTGTATCGGAAGAATTGTTGAATACTAGATATTTATTCTTGAATTCAGTCAATCAATATATATTTGAGTACTTACTCTGTGCAAGGCACTATATTATGCATAATAAAGTATAAGTCCTAAAGTCTCTCACGGACAGGGGAGAGACAAGATGTGGGCTCAGAGAAGTCAAAGAAGACTCCATAGAAGAGGATAGAGTTAAATCAGCCTTGAAAGATGGGTTGGATTTGGAAAAGCAAAATGTGTCAAAAAACCTATTCCAATGGGTGAGAGTGATATGAGCAAACAAAACAAAAAATAAAAGGAGAAGTAAGAATGCAAAAGGCTTAAGTGTTGAAGAAGAGTCAAAGCTGCACAAGTCATTTTGGAAACAAAAGGATTCAAGTTGAGGTACAGTAGAATATAATTTTGGAGAAGGAAAAGCAGGTGTGGGTCAAATTGTAGACTATTGCTCAATGCCAGGCTAAGGAGAAAGGCTTTATCCTAGGACATGCTCAAAGTAGTGACATCTCTCAGCACAACCTGCATGTGGCTAAAAGCAAAAGTTAATGTCTGGTTCTGAAATGTCAAAAGAAATGGGATGATCATCAAAATAAATTTAAGAAGGAATAAAGAGATAGCAGAGTGATTTGTGGATCATTTAAACTTGAGAAGGTCACTACTGATGGAGTGTCCATGTGTGTCAGACAGTGGATTAGTGCTTTATAGAGATTATTATATTCACAATAACTTGGTGATAACCACCACCAACAATAGCAGCCCTTAAAGAGCGCTCACTATGTACCAGGCACAGTGCTATGCTCTTTTTCTTTTTTTTTTTGAGACAGAGTCTCACTGTGTTGCCCGGACTAGAGTGCCGAGGCGTCAGCCTAGCTCACAGCAACCTCAAACTCCTGGGCTCAAGCGATCCTCCTGCCTCAGCCTCCCCAGTAGCTGGGACTACAGGCATGCGCCACCATGCCCAGCTAATTTTTTCTATATATTTTTAGTTGTCCAATTAATTTCTTTCTATTTTTAGTAGAGACGGGGTCTCGCTCTTGCTCAGGCTGGTTTCGAACTCCTGAGCTCAAACAATCCGCCCGCCTCGGCCTCCCAGAGAGCTAGGATTACAGGTGTGAGCCACCACGCCCGGCCCAGTGCTATGCTCTTAACATATCTATTAACTCATTGAATCCTCACATTCCCATGAGATAGGTGTTTATGTAATTCCCATTTTAAAGATGAAAAAACAGAGGAACGTTGAAAAAGTAATTTGCCCAAGGTCATCTCTTATTTCATGTATAAGTAACGAAAGCTCAGAGTGGCTTAGTTACTAATTCAAGATCACACAGCTGGTATGTGGCAGAGCCAGGATTTGAACTAAAAAATTGTGATTGACTCTAAAGCCCTTGTTTTTTTTCATTAAACTCTGCTGCTTCCTATACTGAGAAACACACATAAGACGGTTTCTCAAAAAGGGCAGTTTGTCATCCCAATCTATTTCCTGCATTACTCTCTGACAGGTTCTGATCACAATATCTGATGCTTTTCTCTTCAGGGGTCTGCAAAGTTGTTTGGTAAAGGGCCGGATAGTAAATATTTCAGTTTCTGCTGCCACTACTAAACTTTCCTGTTCTATTACGCAAAGGTCTTCTGGCCTCCCCAACAACCCCTCTTTTTTAAAAAAATATTTGTCATTTCCACCTTCATGTAACTAGGCATCAAAGGCGTTTATGTTAAAATGTTAATAGAATTGGGTTGAGTTTTGCTTTTTCAGAAATGGTCCAATCTCTTAAGAGGAGAAGAATTTATGCTTTAATACAGTTTAAACCAGAAATCCATCTCTATTTTTATTCTTTTCTGTTCTTTGCAGATGCCTTATCTCTGGATAGTCTTACAGCGATTCCAAGGCTGGAAGTGACACCCTTCTCATGTGTAGCCAACCGAATCCATGCTTCGTGTGGAAAGCCCCAATATGAAGAAATAAAGGATGGTGCTTTGAATGTGACAAGACAGCACAAGTAAGTTAAAAGAGCGAACTTTACTTAACCCTACTCTTTATGGGTGGCCTAGTCCCAATGCCTAACATTTTAACTGATTAAATTTTCATATTCTGAGATCATAACATCTTTATTGTAAAAATTCTCTAACTTTCTGAAAATTTACAATTTTAAAGTAAAGACATCACTGTAGTTTTCTCGTTTCTTTTGAATTTCATAATTTCCATTCTAAAATTTAGAAGACAAATTAGACTACCTAAGATGTTTCCCAGTTTTTAGGAATATACCACATACTGCTAAATTAACTAAGGTGGGTTGTGATCACATTTCTATTCCTTTCATACTCAAGCTTAACATGCCTTTGGGAACCTCCTGTCCTTGTACCCATCCCTGCCCTTTTTAAGAACCCTGACTGATCTTCCAATCTAAAGGGGGGAAAAAACCCCACCGTCACCAATAGACTTTCTCCTACAATATTCTCAACACTACACTCCGCCACGTGTGGGTTTTTCCCCCACGCACTAACCAATTCTCCAGCAGACATCACATGAGCATCCTCTAACTCAATTCAGTTCTGACGCTATTTACTTGGAGGTAGTGTCAGATGCCATAGGTTACGGGGTCAGTCCCACAAGACTGCCCCCACTTCAGATGCCAATCTCAAGTCCCAGGTTGTGACCTGTACTTCTGACTAACTGGCTATAGGTTGGGTGTTCCGATGACCCCCTCCTTGGGTTTAATTAATTTCCTAGAATGGCTCACAGAACTCAGGGAAGCACTTTACTTACGTTTACCCGTTTCTTACAAAGGGTATTTTAAAGTATACAAATGAACAGCCAGATGAAGAGATATACAGGGTTTGGAAGGGTCCCAAGTGCAGGAGCTTCTGACTCCGTGGAGTTAGGGTGTGCCACCCTCCGGGCATGTGGGTGTGTTCTTGCTCTTCAGCCCAGAGGCTCTCTGAGCCCTGTGCTTTAGGATTTGTATGGAGGCTTCATTACATAGGCACGATCGATTAAATCATTGGTCGTTGTTGATCGACTCAGCCTTCAGCCCCTCTCCCTGCCAAAGGAGGTTGGGGGGCTGGGGCTAAAAGTTCCAGCCCTCTAATCACATGATTGGTTCCCCTGGCAGTCAGCCCCCTTCCTGAAGCCATCTAGGACTCCACCAAGAGTCACCCCATTAGGAAAAATGATGCTCCTATCACCTAGGAATTTCAAGGGATTTAGGAGCTCTGTGTCAAACACTATCATTCAGGAAATTACAAAGGTCTTAGGAGCTTTGTGTCAGGAACCAGGGTTAGAGATCAAATATTAGAACAAAAGATTCTCTTAATGCCCCTATCTACAAGGTTTTAGGAGCTCTGTCTCAGGAACTGGAATATCAACTCTACACTGCCAAGTTAACATACATAGGTTTTGATCATATTTCTGTGTCTTTTACAGTCAAGGTTAACAAACAAGCCTTTAGGAACCTACCCCTGTCCCTGCATCCCTTCCTCTTTTGATGCTTGTTTGCACTCACCTGCCTTGTTAAGTACACAGACTAATCTTCCTTAGGACAAATTCAGAAATGTCAGTGGAGTTTGGAAGACCTACCTGCCCCAGTGAAATGTCTTTTCTGTATTGAGGGTGGGGAAGGAAGACTTTGAATTGAAAATTCCTTTTCATTTTTGGCTGGATTTTCTGTTGTTTTAACTTCTCTCTGATGAAGGTGGGAGCTCTCTTTCATCATGTCTTAAGCCATAAACTTAATTAGAAATTTGATAAATTTGGGACTGGGGGAAGAGGAGTGGGAACTATGTTATAGTTTGGTATCTGCTAAAATGTGTAGTTTTTCTATCTGTAGTAAATAATTCCACTTTCTACTGTCAGGTGCCCAGGCCCCACAGGTGGCCCCCACCCAGGAACAGATCTTTCAGGCTGTATCAGGATGAATGATGAACTAAGAATGGAAGTGAGTGTTTCATTTTCAGTATTACCATATCCTGTTCCTCGCCTATGGGTGTTCTTTTTCTTTTTCCCTTTCTTTGTATCTCTCTCTCTCTCTCTCTCTCTCTCTCTTTTTTTTTTTTTAAGTATTATAGATACTCTTATAGCAAGTAGGAGTCCAACACCACAAAACTCAGATGCATGAGAAATGTCAACCTTTGAAGTCAAGAAATTGAAATTCAGCCATCCGGGGGGCTTTCTGCCCCTTGGATAGTATGAACTCTGGGTTATATAACCAAAAGGAGATTTCGATGAAGCATGCTGAACTTTTTGAGAGGCAGGCTGGCTTGGGACTTAATTCACTAATGACTGTAAGAAGTTCCAGGTCCCATTGATTCTCTAAGAATTGATGTCAAGGCCAGATAAACTTTGAGGGGCTGGCCCTTTGTTGAAGACCACAAAGCAGGGCCAGGTCCATGGAGACTATCTGTCCCTGAGGTCAGGTACTAATACCACTTCCCTATCCAAGAAGAGAATAACAATAAATGACTCGAAGGCCACTTAGGGTCAACTCCCTAGATCCTTGAAATGTGGTTGGAGTGCCTTCCTCAGTCTTCAGCCTGAGCTTGAGCCCCGTAATCCTCTCAATCAAATGGAGCAGACGGATTTCAGGATATGACAATCTATCCTCCTCTTTGTTTTTCTAACACTTTTATTGAGATAGAATTCACAATTCATTAATTTAAGTTGTTCAATTATTAAATGACTTTCAGTATATTCATAGAGTTATGCAACCATCGCCACAATTTTAGAACATTTTAATTACCCCCCAAAGAAACTGTATACCCGTTAGCAGTGTCTCCCTATTTCCCCTACCCCTATACCCCCAGCTCTAGGCAACCACCAATCCACTTTCTGTTCTATAGATTTGCCTATTCTGGACATCTTATATAAACAGGGTAATACACTATGTGACCTCTTGTGTCTGGCTTCTTTCACTTAACATAAAGTTTTCAAGGTTCACCCATGTTGTAGCATGTTATCAGCACTTCATTAATTTGCATGACCAAATAACATTCCATTGTGTAGATATACCACATTGTGTTTATTCATTCATCAGTTGATGGACATTTGAATTGTTTCTACTCTTTGGCTATTGTGAATAATGCTATTAACATTAGTGTATAAGTTTTCGTGTAAACATGTTTTTAATTTTGGGGAGTATATATCTAGGAGTAGAATTGCTGTATCATATGGTAACTCTACGTTTAATGTTTTGAGGAACTGCAAAACAGACTTCCAGAATGGCTACACCATTTTACATTTCCACAAGCAGTGTATGAAGATTCCAATTTCTCTGCATCCTCACCAATACTTGTCTGTTTTTTTTTTTTGATTATAGCCATCTTTGTGGGTACAAAGTGATATCTCATTGTGGTTTTGATTTGCGTTTCTCTAACGATTAATGATATTGTACATCTTTTCATGTGCTCCTTGACTATTTGTATATCTTCTTTGGAGATGTGTCTACTCGGATCTTTTGCCCATTTTTAAAATGGGGTTATATTTCTTTTTACTATTGAGATGTGCAAGTTGTTATTATTCTTCCTTTTAAGTGTGCGTATCTGACATCTTTTTCTGGTCATTAGTACCTGTCTTATTCAGTGACTAAGAAAAAGAAAGAAAAAGGAAATGAATCTATTTTGCTATTACTTAGCAATTCTTATAAAGTTTTAATAAAGGAAGTTGAACTTGGAAGCTTACAGGATGTTGGGTTATTAGTAATTCCCTTTTTATCTGGCACTGACTTCACAAAGAAGGAAGAAACAAATACCAGTTGTGTACCAGACACTTTGTAGGAAAGCATTTCCCCGTGCCATGTTATTAATCCTCCCTATGCTTTGAGTGTAGTATTCTCTGCTTTTTACAAAGGAGGCAACTAAAGGTGAGAGAAGTTAGATAACCTGTCCAAAATCACTCAACTAGTAAGTAGCAAAGTCAATTCCAATTTAGGTTTGTCTAGCTTCAAAGGGTATGCCCTTTCCACAACCATAGTGCACTGAATTTAGACATTTCAATTGTAATAATCCCTTATAGTTACCTTGAAAGTGGATTTTTGGCTAAGAAATGTACTGCCTTATGTATCCAAAAGGACCTCCTCATTGACTCTTATTAGGATATGTGACCAGGTGTTTTTTCTAAGTCTTGACACCCATTAAGGAGTAGATGCTAACAGGGATCATGGCAGAACTCCTGTCAAATGTTCCTGGGGAAATGTATAGGTTCCCTGAAGGTTTTCAGGCTCTCTTTGCCATTTCTTCTGTAGTCCCCAGGAATTAATCTGTTGGCTGTAATTTGTGATGGATAACATCAATTCCTCACCTTCCCTGTTCCAGGTTTTTGCTCCACTGAAGAACCCGGGTAGCCTGGTAGCTGTACTCCCATCCCCCACCTCCCTTGTCCCTTGAGCACCTCGCCACCTGCCACCCTTTTTTACTCCCTATCTTTTAAGCACATAGAAAATTCTCCTTACAAAATGCTTTTCTTTTTTTTCTTTTTTTTTTTAAAGACAGAGTCTCACTGTGTTGCCCAGGCTAGAGTGCCATGGTGTCATCCTAGCTCACAGCAACCTCAAACTCCTGGACTCAAGCGATCCTTCTGCCTTAGCCTCCTGAGTAGCTGGGACTACAGGCATGCGCCACCACGTCCGGCTAATTTTTTCTATATATTTTTAGTTGTCCAATTAATTTCTTTCTATTTTTAGTAGAGACAGAGTCTCGCTCTTGCTCAGGCTGGTCTCGAACTCCTGAGCTCAAACGATCCTCCCGCCTCAGCCTCCCAGAGTGCTAGGATTACAGGCGTGAGCCACCGCACCTGGCCTAGAGAATGCTTTTCTAAGTATTTTCTTCAGTAATAAGTACAGGGAATTAGAATAAAATATAAGAAATTATTAAAAAACATAATCCGTGTTCATCCCAGTGGACCCCAAAATTGATAGTGTTTTCTTAACTCCTTGGTTTTCAACAATGGATTTTGTCCATCTCTACAGGCTTCTAACAAACAACATGACCTGGTGTTCAAGGCCCTCTCTAACCTGGTTGCAACCTACCTTTCTACTTTAGTTTCCAGTCACTGCCTGTGGCTGTCCCTGAATGTCAGGCAAACCAGGTGGCTCGTATCGTCAGAACATATTGCACAAACCTGTTGGTGCTGTTTCCTCCGCCCAGAACACTGTTCCCGTTTCCATTTATCAAACTTCTATTCGATTGTCAAGGCGCATTTCAAAAACCAATAAAGCTTTTCTTGTGGTAGCATAAAATGTTGCCAGTCAGGCATCTCCAGTCCTTCTTGAGGTGGAAATCGTAACGGAAGGGGGAAGATCAGGTGTTTCTCAGGGTTGGCTCTTTGTGTGAACTCTGGAAAAGTCTCATGGTCTTAGGCCTCAGTTTCCTCATGTCTCTACTATCCCACTCAGGAAAAAACTAAGTTCATTCCTTTCTTTGAGACCCCAATAACACTTTGTCACCTATTTTCTGGTTGCATTGTAGTTATTCATTTTCTTGTACTTATTCCTATATTGGATCAGCTTGCCAGAGAATGCCTTTATTTGGCCATTAATGAATGTGCATCTAGCACCCTGTATAGATTTGTGGACAGTAGCACCCGTTATTGTTTGTTGAATGTCTATTTATTTATTTTGACTCACCACAAGGTCTATTTAAAACATTGACAGCGAGCACTTAATTAATTTACTGTTTTCTGACTCCTTTCTTTGGACTGGTGCCCCTAAGTGCAAGATTTACTTTTTATTCCTTCCCCACATTCACAGAAGAACCTGTATTCTAGCATCTTTATCAGAATGCACAATGTAAGGTAGCAGTGAACATCAGTATTTTTAAGAGGGTCTTTGAGAGAGCAAAGGACTCTAAGAGAAATGTCTCAAAAAGAACATCTCATAGTAAAATAATTTGGAGCCCATTTTGGAACATTCTTGAGGAAACTTCTTTACTGACCCAATGACTTAGTTTATTTGGGATCTTCTGGTATAGCTTGGAAAGAAGGAAATAAATTATTTCCAGTTTTTATCTTTTAGAGATTCATACTGTAATATTTATGGCTGAAATGTTGCAATATCTGGGATTTGCTTCCAAGCACTGCAGGGGTAGGCTCAGTGGGTGAGAGTTTGAAACAAGATTTGTCATAGCTTGATAATTGTTGAAGCTGTGTGATATATATACAAGGATTAATTTTTCTGTTCTGTCTACTTGTATATTTATACAAATTTTTTCCCAGTATTCCTTAGAATTTTTAGCCACATGGTATAGGTTTTGGAATCAAGTAGACCTGGATTTAAGGCTGACTCTAAGCCAGGTGCAGTGGCTCATGCCTATAACCCTAGCCCTCTGGGAGGCCAAGGCAGGAGGATCGCTTGAGGTGAGGAGTTCAAGACCAGCCTGAGCAAGGGCGAGACCCCATCTGTACTAAAAATAGAAAAATTAGCTGGGCATTATGGCGTGCACCTGTAGTCCCTGCTTCTCAGGAAGCTGAGGCAGGAGGATTGCTTGAGCCCAGGAGTTTGAGGTTACAGTGAGTTAGGCACTGTACCCTGGGCAGCAGAGCGAGACTCTGTCTCAAAAAAGTAAACAAAGAAAAAACTGGCTCTATTACTTATTAAGTGTTTGAACTTGGACAAGTGGCCTAACCTGTCTGAATTTGTCCCCTGTGAAATAGAGATATTACTTTTCAGGGTTCTTTTGGGGATTCAAATACACACACACACACACACACACACACACACGCACGCACGCACACATCCTGCACAGCTAAGTTCTGGCCTAACCAGTTCATGGAAACAAACCAATTAGGTCATATTTAAAGGAAAGATACTGCCTCACAATGCCTTTTCCCCACTTGCTGATGAGTAAGAAGGCCTTTCTTTTTCATGGAGTCCCTTCCCTACGTTTTCAAGAATCTGCAGAGGTGCATACCTAATGTATCACCATGTTCTTCAGGCCTCACCAAGGAGTGGGTTCTAGGTAGGCACTTAACCGCTTGAGAAATTGTGGGGCAAAGAAGTTGGTTTTCCTGCTCACATCTCTGCAGTCCCTTTGTTCACTGCACACTGCTGACCTCCTTACTCTGTGTCTGGGCCTCTGAGGATGTCCCTTTCCTGCTTAGTAGAGAGACGACTCTCTCTTCTCTTTTTTTTTTTTTGAGACAGAGTCT